TACTGTTAATTCTTATACATATACTATCCGCTATACTACCCTAACTCTACTCTACTCTACTCGATTTATCGGACAGCATTGAGTTGTCATAAATCTTGAAAATACTAGATGCTTGTGCCTATCATATTTCTCGGCCCTAGTGAAACTAACTCGTACTTAATCCAACTCGAATTATCGTAAACAGCCCTAGTTACACAAAACTAGTTTATTGGTTGCATATTATCTTACAAGATGTTTTAGATAATATGTGACCAATAAACTGGTTTTGTGTACGTGTATATCAAGGCGTGTTTACGACAATTAGAGTTATGTCTCCTGCGCGTTCTGTGTGCAGGAGTCAATGGCCGCGTTCAGTAGAACAAGTGATCAGTAAGCGCTCAGGGAGCTCTTGTATATGATTTGGCATATTCTTTTAGATCTCCAACTATACTCCAATCAGATGCAAGAGCTCCCTGAGCGCTTACTGATCACTTGTTCTACTGAACGCGGCCATTAGAGTTAATTCCACTTGGGACGAAAATTATGATAGGCACGACCAACTACTTTTGTAGTTACAGGATGTTTACGATAATTCGAGTTGGAGTTAGTACGAATTAGTTTCACTAGGGCTGAAAAATATGATAGTCACAAGCATCTAGTATTTTCATGATTCATGACAACTCAATGCTGTCCGATAAATCGAGTAGAGTAGAGTAGAGTAGAGTTAGGGTAACATAGTGGATAGTATATGTATAAAAATTAACAGTATCAGGTAACATAGTTTCGTAAAATATATAACAATAATATTACTAAACAATGAGTTGTTGCATTTTAGAAAAATTAGAAGCACTAAATTAAATTATGAAAAGGTATCATGTATTTGTGAAATATCCAAAAGTAGAAAACAATTATTCTAACCTATTATTATTGAATATTTCACAAATACATTAAATTAATATCATTTTCATAATTTAATTTAGTGCTTCTAATTTTTCTAAAATATAATAAATAATTGTTTTGTAATATTATTGTTACATATTTTACGAAACTATGTTATCTGATACTGTTAATTCTTATACATATACTATCCGCTATACTACCCTAACTCTACTCTACTCTACTCGATTTATCGGACAGCATTGAGTTGTCATAAATCTTGAAAATACTAGATGCTTGTGCCTATCATATTTCTCGGCCCTAGTGAAACTAACTCGTACTTAATCCAACTCGAATTATCGTAAACAGCCTATGACAACTTCTTACTTCTAATGGCTCCTGCACACAGGACGCGGTAATGCTTGCCTCGCAGCGAAAGTCCGCGCGACAACCAATCAGTATGTTGTTTTTCCGTAAAAGCTAGAAAGTTATTATGGAAAATAGCATATTGATTGGCTGTCGCGCGAACTTCCGCCACACGGCAATCATTACCGCGTCCTGTGTGCAGGAACCATGAGACAGTACTTAATGGCTTCCCAGATAGCAAGGTGACGTCTAAAGACGTCATTAAAACGTCATAGACGTATTAATAACGTCTTAATGACGTCTTTAGACGTCACTTTGCTACCTGGGTTGGTTTACATCGTGCACTTGATACGCGTATCGGGTACTATATTCGTATCAAATTCGTACTAAATATTTAATACACACGATGTAAACACTGACGGATCAATTTGTTGCGAGCGTGCCAAGTAGGAGTATCGTACTAAACTAATACCCTTATAGAAATATCATACTAAGAATCATTGATAATTACTTATTATCCAGTATTTTTAATATTGAAAATAAGTAATTATCAATGATTCTTAGTATGATATTTCTATAAGGGTACGCGTATCAAATGATACAAATGACGATGTATACGTATGAAACGAATGTTGGAGGGAACCTAATTTAATTAAAACCGGTGTTATCGGTAACCGTTGATTTCAAATTATATTATAGTAAAATGTCTTGTAAAAAAGGAGAGAAGAAACGAGCACATTTTTAGAATTATGTATTCCTTCTGTCAGTCGAAGCTATCTTAAGCAAATTGCAATTCCAAATACCACCACTAGGAGGTAAACGACATGAATTAAATTTGTATTATATTTTTCCTTTAATACGTTCCTTTAATATGTAAACGCACTCGTATTAAAGCATTGGTGCGCATCAAATTTAATACGCGTACTAACGTTTTGACGATGTAAACCAAGCCAATAGCGTGTTCGACTGGCCCTGGGTTAATCGCTCCGAGAGCGATTAATGACGTCATAAATCTCTACTAGCCAATCATAAAGCTTATAAGTACTTGTTCGACCAATAAACGTAGGCTGAATAATCCAGAGTGAGTTAACCTAGAGCCAGTCGGACATGCTATTAGATGATCTTAAATATAAGATCGGACTATGAATACCGACCTTACAAAACTTTTTCATTACATTACAATCGCTTACAAACGAAATACAAACGATTGCATAAGGTTTCTTAAAATTTAATATTTTGCCGGCTAACTTCATACGAGTGATGGCAGCGTCTTCAAATAATCCAACGTATTTTGCCTACATCAAGTTTCATCGAACACATATGAAACGAGTGTAAAAAATGTATTTGAAAAGCTTTGAAGCGTTTACTACGACCGCGTTCCGTTACACACTCGCAACGCCGCGAGCATCATTCTATCTTTGTTGCTCATTGAATATTAAGCAAAGATAGAATAACGCTCGCGGCCGTTGGGAGCGTATAACGGAACGCACCCAACATTAAACGGACCACGCATCTTGGATTTCCAGATTTGATCGAAATATTCTAATCTCTTCGAAGTTTTTATACCGTCAAGTGGACCATACTACGTGTTTCAAAGAGAGTTAAAATTACAAATAGATTATTACTCAGAAAAAATGCAGAGTATTAAGCTACTCGATGTCGATACAAAAATTATGTATACATTAGAAGTTCCCGAAGAAGATGCTAAAAGAGCTAGTCAAGGTAAGAATCACATAACCTATATTAGTATGTTTTTAGTTTGTCAAATAAAAAAAATAATATTTTTTAATTCTCGTATCTTATATTTCTGAACAGATGTGTCATATGCAACACAACTTTTACAAAATTATTTGGAAAAGAGCCATGACAACTTGTCCGAAGATGAGACTAAGTCAACCAAGTTAATTAAGTCATCTAGAAAATGTGGTAATAATATACTTTATAACTAGTTTTTGAACCTTGTTATTACAAATTAATACTTGTAATTTATATCTATCTATCTACGGCACTACAGTCCTAAAGAGGACCTTGGCCTCAGCCAAGAAAAGCTGCCTATTTCTATTTCTGCCCCAAGTTTTCCAGTTCCGTACACTATGTTTGCTAGGTCATTCCTCACAGCATTCCACCATCTGTATCTTGGCTTACCTCTTGGTTGTAATTTACATACATTGTTTATTTCATTGTGTTGTATGTAAAAACATATATATATATATATGTGTGTGTGTGTGTATATATGTATGTATATAAGGATAGAATTTGTTTGAGGCTACAAATGCTTTGAAGTGTGTAAAGAAGGATCATGATTATTTTGTATGCTACTTAAGTATTAGTCAAAAAGAACTTACCCTAAGGACTTATTGTTCTAATTTCTTGATAAGTTAAATCATATGTTTATTTTTATTTTTTCTTCTAATTGGACAAAGATAAACATATGATTTAACTATTAGGTAGCTTATTAAGAGGAATAATTGATTCTAAATTAGCTTCTTATATGTATCTTATATGTATTTATAACATTTATAATTTATATCATTTATAATTAGAGTATTTATAATTTTTTGATAGTACCTTCTACATCTTCATCTTTATATGCTGATACATCAGTTAACAAGAAAGAGAGAACTACAGATACTTCTTCAGAGAAAAGTATAATATATTGTTTTCTTTCATAAGAAGGAAGATTTTTACTCTGTAAATATAATAATAAACTTTGCAAACAGATAACTTTATGGATGGTTATCGTTGGTCACATGAGGCGATTCTTGCATTATTTGACGTATATAAAGAGGAAGAGCATATAATTTCATCTGGTGCATCAATGAAAAAGTTCTGGAACATAGTTTCTGCTAAATTAAATGAAAAAGGTTACTATGTCAATGATTCTCAGTGTAAGAGTAAAATGGCTGGCTTAACAAAAACTTACAAAAATATTAAGGATTACAATGGAAAGCATACCTACAGTTGTCGAAAATGGCGATATATGGAAGCAAGTATAAAATGTGTCTATTTTATATATTTTTTCCATTATAATTAATGTTATATTACAGATTATGGATGAAATGTACAAGAAAAATGCATGGGCATCTGCACTTTCAATAGTAAAAACTAAGGGCGATTCAACTCGATCAAATCGATCCTTTCGGCCAATTAAACCCAAATATGTTGATGAGGATGGTGAAGGTGATGAGGATAATGAGAATAACGTGGAAAAAGTTGATTCGTCACCACCTAAATCTGAATCATCATCTAGACGTAAGTGTTTTTTTTAGTTACTTCAGTATCTTCAGTACAGTATAGTGTAATTGTTTTTTTCTTATATATAAATATAGACATATCATAATCTACAAAAAAAGAATCGAGATTCTATGGATTGCAATATATGTCTCAATTACAGGTATAAGACAGCTTGAGAGGATAATTTCTGTTGTTGAAGAAAATACTATTGAGCGCAAGAGGATGCACAAGGAAGCAATGATACGTCAAGATAAATTACTTGACATTCTAGAGAAGATGTATAATAGGTAATATTTAAACATAGACTACGTTTACATGGCTCGATTTACGCCGTAGTTATAACATCGATGTTATAACTATTGATGTTAGATGCCATGTAAACGCTCCTTTACGATGAAGTTATCACTACAGAGTTATTACTACTAGACTGCTAACTCCCTATGATTGGCCTGTAGAAAAGTGAGAGCCAATGCACAAGCAACATGTAACATGTTACGTTAAGTACTGATAATATAATGATCATATCTGTACGTAAGCTTAAACTTAAGTCAACGCACAAAGAAATTTATAAACTTAACATGTTACGGATGTCTTGTGCGGAGGTTTTGAAGCAAAATTTTAACTTAGGCCGGTATTCATAGTCAAATCTTATTTCAAGACCGTCTTAAGTAATGTCTTAAGATGCGAATACAGCTCTGTGATTGGTTCATGACATTTTAAGACAGTACTTAAGATGATCTTAAATATAAAATCGGACTATGAATATCGGTCGTAGTGTGAATAGGAGTAGCCATCTTTGTTAAGGCAAAATGAGTATGTGAATATATGAGATGCCTTAACAGAAATGGCCATCACTTTTTGCCTCAGCTGTAACTAGGGAGTTAGCAGTCTAATAGAGGTCTGTTACATCGATGTAGTAACTTCGTCGTAAAGGAGCGTATAGGGGCGCCGCACACGAATTGACATAACAACAACGTAAGACGTACCGTAAGAATTGACCAATTACGATCGAGTATTCATCAAAATGGGGACCTCACGATTCGACGATTCTCAACATGATTGGTCAATTCTTACGGTATGTCTTACGTTAAGCGTCTTCTACAATGGCAGTAGGAGTAGTAGTAGTAAGAAATAAGCAGTAAGTAAATAGACCAATCACAATCGATTATTTTTGAAACGTGAGAATGGAATTGGTCAATTTGCTTACTGCTTATTTCTTACTACTACTCCTACTGCCATTGTAGAAGACGCTTTACTGTATGTCAATGGCCGTGTTCAGTAGAACAAGTGATCAGTAAGCGCTCAGTGAGCTCTTGCATCTGATTGGAGTATAGTTGGAGATCTAAAAGAATATGCCAAATTATATACAAGAGCTCCCTGAGCGCTTACTGATCACTTGTTCTACTGAACGCGGCCAATTTGTATGTGAAGGCCCTTAAGCCCATTCTACAATTGCGTGAACGTGGTTGTAAGTGGTCGTAAGTGATTACGACAACCAATCAGAGTAAAGCAATCAGTGAATAAAACATTCGGATTGGTTGACTCTTACGTTCATGACTACGCTTATGCAATTGTAGAATGGGCTTTATAACTTCGGCGTAAATTGGGCCGTGTACGTAGTCATATATGTAATCATCTATTTAGATAGCTTCACAATATTTAATATTAAAGGAGATAATTCTTTCATAATTCCAAAAGTATATTGTCGAATTATTTATATATTGTTCTTGGCCGTGTCATATGTTAAATAGATATTGAACAAAATATTTTAAATATTAATTAGATTTAAAGATTATATTACAAAGTAACAAATTGTGTTGAGGTAAAACTATATGTAACCTTGTTATTTAAATGTTGTCTATGAAGGACTTTTGTGTTAAAAAATTAATTTAATTATGTATATTTTTTTTTTCTAAATATAGTATTAAGGACAGAGATGAAGCACAGTCGAGCGAGTCATCCCCAAACAAAATTCAACTCCCCACCAAGCGTAAGTATTAAAGCTAATATCTTTAAATGCAATTATATTGTTTTATCTTCAAGCATAAAACACAAACGTATGATTTTTTTAGAGAAAAGTAAGATATATCTATTACAACATATATGTTATTGCAGGTTTGCACAAATTTTCTACAACGGAGAAACTAATTAATGCTATTGAAGAAAGTAATTCTAAACGCAGCAGAATGCATGAGGACGTAATGACACGTCAAGACAAATTACTCAACATTTTAGAAAAAATGTTTGAGAAGTAATAACACAGTACAGTGTTGATATTACATTTAACTCAGAGTTAGTTAATACTTTATGGTAATTATTTATATGACAAAAAATAATTCTTTTATAACTTTTTTTGTAACAACCATATAATTTAAGTTATTTATATATCTTTTTTTAGTTTTATCATATCTGGAATCACCAAACAACTTTAAAGTTTGATTTTTACATTGGAATAGTTTGTTGGAATTCTATATGTATTTATGTTATTGAAAACTTTTATTTACAAAAAAAATTTTTATTTTTTATGGTCTTGACTGGTTTGAACTTGTCAACATGGCAGTTAATGTAAACTTGTAGAAAATAATATGTAGTATAATAATCAAAAAGATTAATTATGAATCTTTTTCTTTAATATGATGTGCTTATGAAAAGTGTGAATCTTCAATACTCTCAATTTAGAAAACGTTGTATCTTTTCATGAATTTATGTTAGAAGAAAGGATTTAAGATCAATTTTTAAAAATATATCAATTCAAATAGCATAAACCTTCTAAAGCTGCGTTCGGGGAAACGCTATTTGACGCTAAAAGCATGTTCTGTTCAACTTTCAGTAAGTAACAAAGAGTGCTTTCCAGCTACGTACACTGTGTTACACAAAACTAGTTTATTGGTTGCATATTATTTTACAAGATATTTTAGATAATATGTGACTAATAAATTGATTTTGTGTAACACAGTGTAATGTAGCTGGAAAGCATCCAAGGACAGAACACGCTTTTAGCGCCGAATATGTGGTCTGTTCTTTTTAGCTGCACTGCTGAACTAGTGTAATAAATTAAAATGAGACAAATATATTTTTTCTCACTCTAACTTATTAATTGTCAATCGTTAATCGTCAATCGCTAGTGTGATTTGGTCTTTAAGGGCCGTGGCACACAGAAAAACTTAAGCAATAAGATGTAAGCAGTAAGCAAATTGACCAATCACAGTCGTTGATTCTTGGACCGTAAGAAGAATCAATGACTGTGATTGGTCAATTTGTTTACTGCTACGTTTTACTGCTTAAGTTTTTCAATATGCTACCAGCTTAAAGGGACGTTTACATTGGAAGTAAATAGCAAGAAGTAAGAAGTAAGAGTAAGAAATTGACCAACCACAGTCGAATGTGAGAAGAATCAACTATGATTGGTCAATTTCTTATTCTTACTTCCTACTTCTTACTGCTTACTTCCAATGTAGACGTCCCTTTAAGAAGTATGGTCGATTGTGATTGAATATTATAAAAATGGCGACTTACGATTCGACGATTCTCAACATGATTGGTCAATTCTTACGTTACGTTTTATGGCTCCTGCACACAGGACGCGGTAATGCTTGCCGCGCGGCAGAAGTCCGCGCGACATTCAATCAATATGTTTTTCCGTAAGAGCTAGAAGATTATTATGGAAAGCAGCATATTGATTGACTGTCGCGCGAATTTCCGCCGCGCGGTAAGCATTACCGCGTCCTGTGTGCAGGAGCCATTACGGTTAGGACCCTCACACATGAAATGACATAACTGCATGTGCATAGCATGAGCTGTATGGACCAATGAGCATCAAGTATTGAGCATCAAGCATCAATATAGCGACTAAATACTCGATGCTCATTGGTCC